TAGAGGGTATTATGCTAAGCAAAATAAATCAATCAGAGAAAGACATGTATCATATGATCTCACTGATATGGGGAATTCTTAATCTCAGGAAACAAACTGAGGGTTGCTGGAGTGGTGGGGGGTGGAGGGATGGGGTGGCTGGGTGATGGACATTGGGGAGGGTGTGTGCTATGGTGAGCTCTGTGAATTGTGAAGACTGCTGAATCACAGACCTGTACCTCTGAAACAAATAATACATTATATGTTAAAAAAAAAAAAAAAAAGATAGTAGGAAGGGAAAAATGAAGGGGGGGATATCGGAGGGGGAGACGAACCATGAGAGACTATGGCCTCTGAGAAACAAAATGAGGGTTCTAGAGGGGAGGGGGTGGGGGGATGGGTTAGCCTGGTGAGGGGTATTAAAGAGGGCACATATTGAATGGAGCACTGGGTGTTATATGCAAACAATGAATCATGGAACACTACATCAAAAACTAATGATGTAATGTATGGTGATTAACATAACATAATAAAATATTTTTAAAAAAAAGGAATTTAGTCCAAATCTAGAGAAATGAAAGGTTGCATGACTGTCGTTATCAATCAACTACAAACTGGTTAAAACAAGTTTCTGAAGAGAAACTTGAGAGTAGCTTTTCCATTCTCTTTTGTTGTATCTTAATTTAATTCTTTCAAATATAACTTTAATACAGAATTCTTTGAGAACAAATTTCTAGTGCTCTCCTTTAATAAACAGGATACCAATGTCACATTCTGAAGGGCTTTTATTTCCCACATTTTTCAGAACATGACAATAATAGTTTTGTGCATTTATGTGTTTTAGTTATTATTATTTTTTTAAGGTTTTCCAAAAAACAGTGATTTACTTTGTAAATAATTTTCTACAACTCAGGATTTCATGAAAAATCCTAAGTTTATATGGCATTAGATTTTTTTTTTTCCCATATTGGTCTCTGGGGATATATTTTCAAGACTTTTAATGTCTTATATTTATAAGCTTCACCTCCATGTTGAAGTACCTCGAATCCTCTTAATGCCTAAGGATTCCTGGCAGCTTATATTTGTATGTGTAAAAGATAGGCCAAATCTCCATGGGAGAACATTCAAAATAGAAACAAATGTACCCCTGCTTAGTTTATGCATTAAACATTTTTCTCCAAATATTTCAGGAATGAGAGAGTTTTTAAAAATTAATATCCTTAGTATTTTAAAATAATGTTCTTTTGTTAACTATTAATTTTTCATATTACGGCAATTTAACATCCGTGGGGATCTGGTGTCTTTATAAATTCTCTTCTATCCTTCTCCCATAGAACCCGTTTTCCTATGAAATCATATGAAATATTTTTTATGAATACAAATTTACTTACACTCCATGATTTTATTTTAAATTAAAAGCTCAAAAGTTTTAAGTTAATAAAAATCTCAACACATCACGTCTACCTTTATTGGGTAAATTTGAATTAACGCAGATATGGGCATTTATTATTTTTCAGGACAAACAAGAAAACCTAAGTTGCTTTAAAATAGTCAGGCCCATGTGAGGTCTAAGGCTTTTAAACAACTGAAAAGTTACATTAATTACAAGGGAACCTCAATACAAGCATCTGGAGTTACTCAACAGATTTCTTAAGGAATGTCAATTTTGTACCTGGACATGAGTATTTTCACTTCTGCAAATCATTATGCTTAATGTTGGCTCTAGGTCCTTTACTCATAGATTATTGCACATTAATGGCACCATTCAAATGCCATCCCTAGCTGGAATGATGCACCTCCATGCTCTACTGTTTATAGTTTTCTAGGCACCCCTCTATCAATCTCCAAACCTGTTCAGATACATTTGAATCCTATTTTCTTACAACAGGTTTCTCACTTTCGGACTCAAGAACGTAACGGCCCAGAATTTCTCCCCTGCCATCTTTAAAATCAATAACCTTAAAACAATCTTATTACTCTCTTCTGACTTAGGACCAAATCTATATTCCAGCTGAAGTCAGACAAGCCACATAACACATACACACACATGTACATACATGAGAATTTTTAACCACAGTTTCTCCTTGTGTGGGAACATGGGATTTCAATCATGTAACTTCTAGATGGGGAAATCTGATGCCCTGGCTGTTCATTTTTTAGGAGCATTGAAAAGCCATTAAAAGTATGTTTCTTTGGACAGCTATAAGACAGTGCAGATTTTCCATCCTACTTTCCTATATGCAATTCCTTCTTAAATTGTATTATTCACAACATTTCAAAGTCAATGTCCTAGAGGGACATGAAAAAGGTTACAGAGAAAGAAATGCACATTTAAGAAGCTCCCTAGAGAATCACAGATAAGACGTTTCAAGTTTATTTAGACCCCATGTATGCAAGATTCTATACAAGTAAATTAGGGGATTGGAGAAAGATAGGCAAAATACCACATCTCCATCCAGCTTTTGTTTCTTCATAGTATTGTTCATTTATTTATTTATTGTCTCTCTTTATGCACCAAATTAAAACCTTGTAAGAGTTGGGGCTTTGCCTGTTTGTTCACTACTCAATTTGGCCCTGGAATAGCACCTTGGACATTATATATACTCAAGAAATATTAGCACAAAGAATGAATGAATGGACATAAAAAAGATTCATATTCAAAGGAAGCTGTCTGATTTCCTTTCATAGTATTGAAAGGATTTTATCACCAACATAATCTTTCCTTATAGAACGTAAATGGTAAATGAAGACTAAATATCTCAAGAAATACAGCTCAGTGTTCACTAAAAGCAAATTCTTATTTACTGCCTGAGAAGCAAAATAAAGTAGGGAAAGGAAGACTTAGTTATTAAGCCAGAGGCATTTTGTACTGTGTTGAACAACACAATCATCACTGGTACTGAAGGCAGCTTTGAAAATCAGAAGCAGGGGTGTAGAGTTCTTCTATACCATGAGCTGATGATTTATGATTGCATTGTGATAGAAAAAGCATCAGATTCAGAGTTCTATCTCAATTAATGAGTAAGCCATTAGTATTAATATTATATTTTTTATTATTAGTTATACTATATATATGTATGTATTTATATATTACTATGTATAATAATTATGGAAGTCAGTTGGATTTGGTTTCAAATCCTAGCTCTGCCACATGCCAGCTGGTGACCTTGGCAAGATACTTAAGCTCTCTCAATCTAATGTTCTCATCTCTTTCCCTGAATCATTGTAAATACTAAGAGACATAATGTTTAAAGTGCTTTACCCATGTCTGATATGATAAATGGTGATGATGATGATTATAATGGCAATGTTGATTCATACAAATTAAAGTCAGGTAAATGGAATGAACTAAAGTATTGACATATTAAGGAAAGTTTTCTTTCCAGGCAGAAACATAATTTGTGAGAAAGACCTTCAGAAAATCTACATTTCGTTCTATGTCCTTGATATAATTCTTAAGAGTGGATGATGTGACCCTAGATATCACCGAGAATTATTGCAACTGAAAGAACAACAAAAAAAAAGAAATACAGAAGAGAATATATATATCTACTGTTTTATGAACAAAACACAAATATTTCAAAGATCTTTAAAAATAAAAAATATTTTAACAATAACTCAAAGTTGTTATTTTCAACTCACTACAACTATGTTGGTATATCTTAACATAAAAATTCTTTACCTCCAGGCCTCAAAAAATATATTTGGCCATTCCTCTGTTTGGAGTTTATTTTAAGGCTCAGATATAGACTGATGAGCTTATTAATGGTCCTTGTTTTCTCCTTGTTCTCCGAGCACTGATTTTTTTTTCCCAATGGATAAAGGTTTGTTGTATATTTTCATACCCTTTAAACACACATATGCTTGCACATTGATTCTATTTTCAGTCAGGCAATATATTATTTTAAATTGTCACTAGTATATATCACAACTTCATCAGATACCCCTTCTTATAACAACAATAAAATACATATACTGGAGAATATGCTAGTAACCCTGTCAATGAGCAGCTTAACCCATAAACGAGATGCATACAGCTATCAAAACTTAAAATATAGGGCGCCTGGGTGGCTCAGTTGGTTAAGCGACTGCCTTCGGCTCAGATCATGATCCTGGAGTCCCTGGATCGAGTCCCGCATGGGGCTCCCTGCTCAGCAGGGAGCCTGCTTCTCCCTCTGACCCTCCCCCCTCTCATGTGCTCTCTGTCTCTCTCATTCTCTCTGTCTCAAATAAATAAATAAAATCTTTAAAAAAAAAACAAAAAACTTAAAATATAAAGAACAAAACAGAATCTCAGCCACCACAGTGGCAAAGACATTTTTTGTATTCATACATTCCCTAGGATTAAGCAAGAGTTCTTAGTGCTCATCTGGATAGATGACCATAAGGTAAAGAACAACGTTTTAAAATAAGTCAATTTTCCCTTGGTGTTCTTCACTTCATGTTTTGAATCTTTTTAAATTCCTGTCTCCAGTACCTGAAGACCATACCAGGCCTCCTGGTTACCAAAGACCAGTCCCAATTTAGTCTTCCAGCAACACTGCTTCAGTGGAGAGCGCCCAGGCTACGGAAGTCCGTACGGACCACACATGTGCCCTGTGTCCCTTGCCCTTATGACACGATTGTCGTCCAACTACAGATTGCTTTAAATCAGCGCTGCTGCTCATATCAAAGCTTGACCATCTAAGGCCCGGAGGCCAAATCCAGACTGTCATCTCTGCACACAGGTAAAGTGTCACTGGAACACAGCCACACCCATTCACTTACACATTATCCATGGTTTCTTTGGTACAACAATGGCGGAGTGAGTAGATGCTGCAAAGACCCTATGGCTCACAAAGCATAAAACATTTACTTGTTAGCCCTTTACAGAAAGCTTGCTGACCCTACTTCACCACTGTACTGCAATCCCTCAGACCACATCTTCTAGATACTGTTTTAGGGTCGCTTCCCAGGCTTCCTCAGGATCTGGTTCTGAGGACCTCAGCTTTGAAACTCTTATCCCATCTCCTCTGACTTACCTTTTGCCCCATGGACATGTTCTCTGAGACAATTCCTCTACAACCCCTCTGGCTCCTCTCTTCAACTGTAATGCACACCCCTTGGACTACAGCTACTCTCATTCACTTGAATGCCGGCCAAGCCTGATCCTGTCTGGCTTCCACTCAGCTTCAGCCCACACAGCTGGAATTCCTTTTAGATTCACCCGTTCCTTCAGATAAGGCCTCTGGCAAGTGTACTGAATGTCAATGCATTAGCTTTCTAAATTAACACATACAGCTGTAGAAAAACATTGTCCTGCCTGATCTTCTCTTGCCATATGACTTTTTTCTCCTTTGAAACAGTAGACAGGCTTCAAGCAGTTATGTTTCCAAAGAAGAAATGGCAAATTAAATTTCTTTAACTTGCAGGGTCCCTTTAAATAGAGTAAATTTAAAGGATTCAGGGAATTTGGGCTAGAAAGGACCTGTCTTTTTCCAAGTTCACCTGTGGCTCCCTCATTCATCATGGTGTTCAAGTTCCTGCCATATTTTCTCAATTTGTTGTATATTTATATCAGAGAGAAACATACTAAGGCTTATAAATTGGAAACTGATTCATAGAGTCATTCATTTTGGTTGGGATTAAGTCGTTTTCAGCTTAAAAAATATTTGTTTGGGAACAAATTCACCTTAGTTTAATATACATATTATTGCCTGTAGTAAAAGACAATATATTTGAATTTCACAAGTTTCTAAGAACTCTAAACTCTCTTGCATTGCTTGGTATAGGTTTCAACCTCCACCATTTTTTTTTTTTTTTTTATAGAAGGATAAGTTTTCGAAGTGAAAAAGCCTAGGAGCCTTAAGGCTAATAAATAGATTATCATGACTTACAAATACAACCGTGATTAATGAATTTTTCTAATAGCCATTCCCTGATCTCTCTCTTTAGACATGACATTTACTCCCAGATAACAACTTACTTAAAAGTTTCACCAAAACTTAAAGGAACAAAAGACAGCATGAAAAGGCTTTCATTTTTGTATTTATCTTTTTTTTTTTAATGTTATCACCACTTTGTACATGGCTACTCTGTTTGCCTACAGACTCCCTACTCTAAAAGCATCTCATTCATTATTTATAAAGAACATTAGGATACTTTGAGTGTGGAAGATGCTACAGAAAACCAATTCTCCTCTTCTTATTGTGTTAATCCTGGATTAAAATTAATGAATTTTATAGCAGAAAGAAAATGAAATAATACATAAAGCTAATACGGCAAATATAATGGAATTCAGAAAATTAATTTTTAATACATTTTACTTTGTAACTTACTGGTTGAGTAAGATGTGATGTCCACCTTTATTCTGATGTCTCTATGGTAAAAATTATTACAGTGTATGATCTGTGTTCACTAACCTAGCAATAGTGAAGCTGTCCTAAGATGAAATATGGATTTAACCACAACAATGAATCAACCTGCCTCAAGCCATCATGTATACCCTTTATTCCTATAATATCTATGCTCTGCACTTTCCCATCTGACAACTTCATGTTCAAGTTATTAGGATTAGAGGTTATTTTACAGCATCGGACTCATGTTATAGGAAACATCATCTAAGCTCACAAAATCTCGTTTAAGTGAGCATTTGGAACAAATATAGGGAAAAACTAAAGTAAGAGATTTCATCAGCATCTGATTTCCTTAATGCGTTTCATGCAAAATATTTAATACCTGTATGGTTTGGGGTAAAGTAGCTTTGCCACTTTAGGCATCATTTTTTGTCATCGGTAATGTGAGAGGTGGATGTGAAGTGGGCTGAGATGAGAATATACAGCACTGTTGTGATAATTAGCCAAAAGTGTCTCTCTCCTGATACAGGCAAACCCTAAGAGCACAGCTTGGTTACATCAGAAGGCATTCTTTATGCTGGGAAGACATAACCCTACAACAGAGTAAAAGACTTGACCAACAGAGTGGAAATTTGGCTTTACTCATCACTTCTTCCCTTAGCTGGACACACTTGCGCAATGAGCAACCTGCAGAAACGGGTACAGTGGCTCGATAAGTGTTAGAAAAGTAAACAGCCCCTAGTTTCTTCATTTCTCCCACTATTCGCTCTTTCTGTGACTATAATATGGAAACTACGTGTTCAGAACAAGAGAACTTATGATCAGACCAGACATGGAAAACTGGGTACATTTCTGTGTACCTCAGAGTATACTTGGACAGCCTGAAGCATGCATCTACACATGGTGTAAAATAACTACAATGGTGATAGTCACTAAACTATTCCATAGAGAAGAAGTGGGTAATAGGACTGAAAATTCTAGCATGACAAAGGAATAAATAAAGAGAATCAAGGAAGAAGAAACAAAACAAGAAGGTGCATCTTTTTTTCTAGATGTAAATAACAACAAGGCAGATTTTAATATAACATAAGAAAGAAATGTTAATAGAACTCTTCAAGCATGAATTAAGCTAATTCCAGGAATAACAAGCTACAAATGATTAGAAGTGTTCAAAGTAATGATGGCTGGTCACTGGTTTGGAATACTCTAGAAGGACTCTATTTAATCAAAAGAGATCAATTTTTGTGCAAATGCATTAAGATAAACACAAAGCTTTAAGAGATAACAGTTCTACTCCACAGCACTGTTTGAATACATGAATATTCCAAGTTCTCTACCATCTGCTAATAATATGCACATAGATAAGAACAAGTCTTTATTTTTAAGATACAATAGAACATGAAAATAAATATATACAAAATTAAATATGCTATCAATATAAACAATACTATTAGCTCTTATACTATTAGAAGAAAGCAAGAAGGCTTCTTGAAATAGTTAACATTTGGTTGAATCATAGGGACGGCTGGACTAGAGTCTCCCAAAATGGGGAATACTAAAAAAGAAGAGATTGGCTGCACAAAATGAGATGGCTTCCTAGATAGGAACCTACAATTTAACATTTACCTTGACAAGTTCACTGTTATGCAGTGACCAGTGAACAAAACTATTCACTATGTTACTCATTTGACATTAATAGAATACCCTACATAAAAACAGAGAATATACATACTTTTCCAGTGCATACAATATATTTACCAAGACTGATCATATCCCAGACCACAAAAGAGGTCTTTATACATTTAAATCCATTCAAGGTATTAAAAGCATGCCCTGTGACTACAATTGGATAATTTAGAAATAAAAAATGGAAAGATGTCTGATAAATTCCTAAATATTTGCAAATTAAATAGCATACTGTAAATAATCATGGGTCAGAGAAGTGAAAGAGATGTTAAAGATTATTTTGTCTGAGTGAAAATGGAAACACAGTATATCAAAATTTGTGGGGTGCCACTAAAGTGGTACTTAGAGAAAATTTTGTGTCACTGAATTATTAAAATCAAAAAGGATCAAATCAATGATCTCAGCTTTTACTTTAAACTGGAGAAAGAAAAGTAAGTAGGAGAAAGAAAGATAATTGTGAAATCAATGAAATAAATGTTTAAAAAAGAAAAGAAAAAATAGGGAAAATCAATATAACCAAAAGCTGACTTTTTGAGATTAATAAAACTGATAAGCTCTAGCCAGACTGGTCAAGGAAAAAAAAAAAGTTACAATATAAGGAATGTGAAAGGTGATGTTACTGCAGATGCAGATTCTACAGATACTAAGAGGATAAAAAGAAAATATTTTGAACGAACTTATGCCAATAACTTCGACATCTTATAGGAACTGATCCAATTTTTAGAAAGAGACAAGCTACCAGACATCTTTTCCAGGACAAACTACAGAAGAAGCCATATTGGTAGCTTTCTTGGTGAGTACGAAATTAGAAAACATCATCTTAGAATTCAAATGATGGCTTCTCTACAGGAATGGAAAAGCTGCCAGGAGGGTAAAGAAATTTTGTCAGCCTCGGAGATGAGTTTTGCCCCAGGAAGATAATTGGTTGGACACGCAAAACATTTGCCTCTGTGATTCTCTTTTTTTATAAATACCTCTTTTGGAAATCATATTCATTCTTTAGATCTATATGGACTATCAGATTAGGACAAAGTTTCTCAATCTCAGCACTACTGACAGTTTGAGATTAATACTTATTTGTTATGGGGGTTGTTAAGTGCATTTTAGGACGTTTACCAGCCCTCTGGCTTCTGCCTATTAGAGTAACCCTCTCCCAACTTGTGAGAAACAAAAATGGCTGTAGACATTGCCAAATAACCCTTTGAGAGCAAAATTGTATTTTAGGGGGAATCACTACGTTGCACTCAAGTATTGCTGACTTAGGAACTAGTCTCTAAGGTAGCCCTGTATGGCTTTATTATCATGCATTGTGTTGATTTCTGAGTTCAAGCTTGTGAAAACAATATTTTTTTAATCCTTGTTCTCCACATTTCAACAGTAAGTAAGAATTTCCCTTTTAAGGGGCACTAGTAAATAGTTATAAAAGACATTTCCATCAGAAAGATCGAGATGAGCAAAAGAACGTGGAAGCAATGTACAGTTGGAGAAAATCCAGAGCTAAGAGAGATTAGAGTGTATCTGACAGTATTAAATCCTTGATTTAAATATTAACCCTTTCCATTCTGTACTGATAAGTAGCAATAATTAACACTGAAGTTTAGAACATGTGAAGGGAAGTGTCAAGAGTTACATTTATTACATTCAATACTTACCCTATGAAGTAAGTACTATTATTATTCCCATTATGTACATAACGTAAGTTATGTACAAAACGTAAGTAACTTAACCAAATACATATAATAAGTAGCAGAACTAGTTTACAAATTCATCTTGTCTGTTTCTATAATCTGAATTCTAGACAATGTGCTCTACTACAGGGATAAACAAAGACAAATAAGACAATCTTTCAAGAAGCTCATAGTCTAGGAAATCCTCAATAATCCAGTTTTATCTTTATATACTAGTTTATCCTTTTAGAATATCTAACCATTAAATGTCAACTTAAATAAATATTAATTACAAATTACTCTGTATTTTATTCATTTCCTAAGCCTTGACCATAATATAGCCTGAATATTCATGTCTTTGGAAATTTTCATTTCAAATACCATACCCCTGAAATCAATTGCTTCCCATCATGTC